CAGGGAGGTCTACCAGTTAGCAGCCTTTTGTGACATGGTAGTCCCAATATGACAGGATACAGGCTTCAAAAGTAAGATGGGAGTTTTCCTTCAAAATTGGGGCCAGCAGGGGGTGTGGTAGTTATGGTGCCAGATCACACATGGCCGACGGTGGTTCGAGGCCTTGATCCAGGGTCTTGAAAAGCACACAGGGAGCTTGTGTTTATGTGCCTAGAATCCCAAGAGCGGAATGGAGGAGAAGGAACTGTGGTGTGGTTATTCCCCCAGGAGGTGATTTCTCACTTTCTGTGTTTCCATGTCTGTCTGTTTCTCTCCAGCGAGTGCATGTACCCTGTGGCAAAAATCGAAATAAATTTGAGACACATTCATGCATAGAGACATAGCCATCTACCTCCAGCAGACTTTTCCTGGCAACATTTGTCCCTAACTCCAGTGGCTTCATTCTTCAGATAGCCTTTTCACCTTCACACTCATGCACTCTCTTTCTGTGGCCTACATTTTAAACAGGATGTTGGGTGTAGTCTACTGTCCTCGGATATTCAAGAGCATTTTTGAGATCTCTACAAATCCTCCAAGTGTCTGCACTTCTGGTCCAGTGGAAAGACCAGATGTGAGTTGGGACAGCAGTAGCCTCTATTTTTATAGATTCCTGCCTTGTTTTTTATTAGCTTTCTCAACAGACTAACACAGTTGACCTAATTTTCTCTATATTCTTTCACCTCTACCTGTCCTCACCAACACACGCACACGCGCGCGCGCACACACACACACACACACACACACACACACATCCCCAGATTGAATGAACTTCTTTTAGAGAATGAAATGTCTATGCCTGACGCATTTGGTTACGTGCCTTGGTCAGATGCTCCGGTTGAGCCATGTGCCTTAACTCCAACCACGGTTGCCAATGTGTTAAATCCTTTGGATGTGTCCCGGTCCTCACCGTAATTGAATTCTGAGCAATATTTGATGTCAACGACCACTCCCTCCGGGATGCAGGACTTTCCTGCTTTCCATGACTAATGGACTCTCTGTTTTCTTTCCCTTGCCTTCTCTACTTGGCATTAAATATTGACATTCCCCCAGGTCAGGGTCCTCTCGTCTTCTGTTCCACCTGCTGTCCTGCTGCCTTCATCTCCATCTGTCGTCAGTCGGGGCTGCTTCCGGTTGACCCCGGACTCCTTTGCCATAGCCCTGTTGTCTCCGACAGCTTCCTCATAGCTCTGTGTTTAATACTCGGCTTGTCTTACATTTCCCGCCCTAGATCTAGACTCAGCCATTTCTCCAAGAAGTCTTGGTTTCTTTTAGAGGAAAAGGGTATTTCAAGACCATAATTTAGGCCCTGGAGGTGTTCATTGTGACAGGATTTGTCGCTGTTGCCAGGCTTTTCCTTTATATGTACATACACTAGAACTAGGACGTGCCATTCAAATTCAGGGCCATGTGGTTCTCCTTTCGTCTCCTGACTCTTACATCTGTGCTTGTCTTCCACCTCGGGGATCGTGGTTCTGAAGGACACGGGATGGTGGGATGAGAACATCCCATGTTACAAACACAGCCTCAGAATAATAATTCTAATACCATCCCCGCTGTATAGTGTGTGTACAGCTTTTAGGAGAGATTAGTGAGAATGCTGATCCACGCATTGCATGTGTGTTCTGACTGCCTGGAAAAGCTACAGGCCTTCGGATTTTCCTTTGAGTCTGTAGCAGATGGTACTGATTAGCCAGAATGACTTCACCTCTGTACACCCTTCTCGAGACTTGAGGTTGTCGGTGGTTTCCAGAGAAGCCGGTTGGGAATCCTAGTCAGTCGGCAGATGGCATAATTAGGCCCAGGCCCGGTGTGCTTTGCTGTGCGGAGGGGACTGGAGGAGGCGTGAGGCAGACCCTCCACCACGCGTTACTTTCGCTCTTCTAGTGGAGGAATGTCCAGACCCGTGGGAAGATGAGAGCCGTCGGGGACCGGCCGTGCTCTCATGTTCACCTCCAGTGCATGGGGAGCCGATTTCGTGTTTCCTGCT